CGCGTCCGAACGCTTCCCCGCTTCTTCGAGAGATCGAAGATTTTTATGGACGTGCACCGCAAAACATTGAACATCTTGCGACGCACGATTGGAAACGATTCGGAAAATCTACTGTGAAAAAGGCCGTACACGGCCAAGCAAAATCTAAAAAATTAGGTCTTTCATCATAACAATATTATAGCTTTGTATAATCAAAATGTTAAATCTATTAAAATTATAGCGAATTTGTAACGAAAATTCTAATCGATTGTCTGCTTATCGCGTCCATGGATTATCTAATTTGAATTCTGCTGACATCGTCGACAGATTGATAGCACTCTCGAAGTCGCTTGTTTAACATGATCAGCGTAAAAACACACGTCAGAAATGTAAGTAGTTCTCCGCTGGCACACTGCTGACGTTATCGATGCACGCTTCGTGCTGTTACGCCGCTATTCTCACCGGTGACTATCACGTATCACCAGAGAGGGATGGGAACGCAGATACGTATGCATTTTTATCGCGAGCGTTTAAAGCCGTTATTCACCATGGCTGGCAGCGCCAGCGTGGCAGCCCGTAAACGATAACGCGGCCGTTTAACGATCATCAGACACTTTAACGAAATCAGAAACACTCTGCAGGCTGTTATACAGCATCGCGATAGCCGACCAAAACAAGTTTCGTATCGTCGCTTCGTCAGTAAGCTCGCACCGATGATGGTGCACCAGGCCCGTTGGGTATACACCCCAACTTCCGCATCGATCCGTTTCGGAACTTTGCAAGCCGATTAAAACGGCCTAGCGGTATTACGCGGAGGAAAATTGCAACCTGGAAACGCAATTAGACCTTCATAAACAATTCATCTCAATGTCTGTACGATATCTGTTCGTCGTTCATGTAATTATATCAATACCGACATATATCTTTGCGCATGATGCACCATCGCGAAAAAGTGCTATAGGCGCAAATATCTGTCGCGAAACTATTACTATACGGCCACGAAGGAAAACCGACACTGTCACGCCGTTTGTTTTCCATTCGTAACACGCGAGACAAAGCAGTTACCACACCCTGGCTGCGTGCGCGGTTTGCGCTTAAAACACTTGTATCACATGTCACGTAAGACGCAGTATTAGTACGCGTGCCTCACGACCAGGCCTCGACAACTTACAGAATGTAACTTCTCTCGAATTAGCATTTGCGTTTTTTTAAATAAAATCGACCATACGAGATCCATTGTTTTAAGAGAAAACGAATGAAATGTACATACGTGCGCATATAAGTGTGCAAAGGATTACTTGTTTCTTTAGAAAACAAAATAAAAAGTTTAAAATATCGCAGGTGAACCTAACACAAGTGAAGAAGATGTTTTCTCTGGTGCCTCATCATGGCGTTTAATTCTCAGAGGTGGTTACCTCCTCAAATTTGTCCAGGCAATAAATCATATTTAATACGGCACTCTCGGCCGCCTCTTAAGCGTAATATACGAATAAACGCGACTCCTCTCTTCATCTGGACTTTAGAACCGGTGGTCGATGTCCCTAACTGAGGAAGTAGCCCGACTGCAATAAATGCGTTGTAAAATTTGCCGTTAAAAGGCGAGAAGTTTACAGTGAGGCCGAGAGATACCAATACTCTCACACGAGAGTGAGTTAAAAGCAGTCTCACGATCCGGTTGGAAAGACGTCCCCCATGTGTCCCGTCACTTACCGCCGGTCATGAATATTTACGCACGCTTCGAAAGACCTCTTAGGACAACGCACGCTTAAAGATTTGGCGATGGATTATGTTCATAAATCGCGGACGACGCAAGACTCGTAAAAGTCTTCGAGAAAATGGCAAGCGAGAATCGATGCGCGACGTCTTTCGAATGCCAAGGACCACAAACTTTTGCATTTCTATTTATAGATAAAATGTATAGGTTGGCCTTATTGCACACATTATTTTTACGCATTTAAACTTGAGATACATTTTGCGATAATTTTCTTACACACGTAGTTTTGAAAACTTTATAATAAAAAAAAACTAAATATTATCATATAAACAAGTTCTCTTATTTGCCGGGACTGTTTTAATATTGGTTCTCTGTAAATTTATATTTAATTAATTAAATTATTTATAACTGATCTGATTATATAGCTTGACGTGTAACACGCTTATTTGCGCCTACTTGCGCCGAGAAAGTCCGAACAGCAGGATCGTTCAGCGGGTTGCATATACTTAAGGCGCTTGTTTACCTTCTGGAAATACGTATACGATACCGCAGAATTGTATACGTATATGCACGTGTATGCGTGCGCATGTGTGATTTATATATGTTTTTTGTATTTAATTAGCCTTTATATGCATTTTCCTGCAGATACCTTTTTCTACCATAATCCAATGTGTTTTTTTTGTATTTAAGTAGACTTTATATCCATTTTTCTGTAGATACCTTTTTCTACTATAATCAAATAAAATACATTTATGGAATTCACTAATAATATTTAGTGAAATACGATTCGACGATATGCAATGTCTCTTACCTGTACGGCGCTGTTGAGGAAACAATTGTTCTGCCCGGGTCCATTGAGCAAGCCTTTCGTGCTGGTAAAGCTGCTGTTGTGCTCCTGATGCGGCGATTTTTGACAACCCTGCACCTGTCCTTCTGTCTGATGGCATTGTGTAGATTGCAAGTAACCGGCAAAATCCACTGTGTCTTGGGATGCAGCCTGCTGCTGCAATCCCATTGTAGATGCCATCCTCAGTAAATCAAAGTAGAGTCATCTGTAAGCAGTCATCGATAAACACGTTTATTTATAATAATATCTCATCTCTTGCGAAACTTTTAGAAAAAAATTTGCACAACCCTTTTAAATAAGCATATTTTAATAAGATATATAAATAAGCATACGTATAATATTTTCCTGGTAATAATAAAGTGTGTTATCATTATAGAAATTATTTTTAATATTGTACAAAATTTTATTAAGTTGCGGTATCGTGCACTCGAAAGAAAGACCTTATTATGCTTTAAGCTGTGGCAATGAATTCAAGTCATAGTATTCGCGGGAACTCATAAAACCAAGTTAACGAGGAAACTATAGAGTATATAATTACAGGGGAAGATCAGAGAAATCAGTTTACGAGTATACGGAAATGCAATGTAAGATTTTTATGATTCGTAACCTCCAGAGAAAACCGATTACGCATGTACGTTCGTTGGTTTCAGTTTCAATTCTCCAAATTAAAAACTAAAATGATTGTCTTGCATTTTTGCGGAAGACGGCGACCTCTCGGGAATCGGCTCACACAAGTGGAGTAGGGGAGTATCACCTCGAGTGTGTCGCCTTCAAAAAGGCGAAATCATCATAAAGAGTCGTGTATGAAGGGTAAAAAAAAGAGGCAAAAGGAGAAAGAACCGCCATGCTAAATGCTATTACAACCGAGTGGACGACGGTTAATTTCGAGGAGCCGAGAGAAAAGTGGTCGGAGCGAACGTGCTTGAGAGCAGGCCTGGCGCCAGTCTCCGCCGTCTTGGCTTTCAGGGTTCGGATACAATACTCTAGTCACATTCTTCTGCAGACATCGAAGTCCCGCTCGGTGTTGCACTTATCACGAGGTCGACGAAGAAAACCAGACGTGGTCGGCTACGTTTACGTTTTCCAACTCAGTAACGGAAATCGTCGGCGTAATATTCTTAGTAACTTGGTAAAGCAGTTAACAACTGCACTGAGAGAAATTTAAGTGACAACAAAATTTGATTTGCTGTGAAAGCAAACTTTTTGCTATTGCAACAAAAAATTTGCTACTATTGCTAAATTAATTAGCTCTCGCAGCAAACCAAGTATTTGTTGTCACTATAGTGATAAATGATTTGCTAATACAACAAAATTATTTAACAATAAGTTATGAATATGTATTATATTAATTGAAATAATTTTGTTTGCCTAAATAAACTGTTTAATTAACGCTACTGTGTTCGTTTCTAATTTGAATAAAATCTATAAACGTAAAAAAAAACAATATTATACGCTCTTAGACCATTTGATTGTATAAAAAAATCATAGAGAACACAACGCTAAACTATCAAAGATAATTCTGAATATTTATTAGCATAAAATCGAGGGACACGGTACGTTACGAGAACGTCGTACTGTAGAATAGAAGCCATCGAGAACCGGGAAATAGAGCACAATGATGACTGACAATTGCATTGATCCGTCGCTCTTCACAAACTGCACGACGAGCACAAATGAAGCATAAACACACGCTCTCGCGACTTTCCTTATACACACCCATTATAAAATTGCGGGTTTACGGCAAATGGCATTTATATATATAGATCTCCCAGTTGACCATGTGCAAACTGCGAGTAAGCTGCGGACTAGTTGGCCTCCCGATGTGTCGTCCCGCGTTTGCTGTCCTTGGCACGGCATGCAAAAGGAATTTCCATTTACACGGCATGAGTCGCGGTAACCAAGAATACCCGATTTCACGCCTTTCGAAGCTGCTACATGATACCGCGTACCAAAACAGACTATTGTCATGCACGGATCTAATTTTAGATTACACTACCCGAACAGCAGACATCAATGATGACGTCGTACGCTAATTTTTCACACTCGATGAAAGCGCCGAGTATAAAATATATTGCACTATTAATAATTTAACGTTAATTATTCTTCTGATATTTTCATCTCGTATATATAATGTCAATACGTAATGATACAAAAAATACCTATTTATATGATCTAAAATCACTAATTAATTTTATTATTCAAATTACTACTTACGCCGCATTTTATATTTAAATGTGACAAGCTTTATATAATTTCCTACTATTTGTGCAAACATAATTATTTCATTCTATCAAAAAAGCTAATAACATAATGAAAAAGTAAAATATAACAATCGATTAACAATCAATCAATTAATTCGTCAAATCCCTATATTGTAATAATAACAAATAATATTTTTAATAAACTTTTAAAATATAAAATTGCTCTAAACTTTATAATAAACAAAAGCAAAAAAATATATTCCGGTATCGGGAATCGAACCCGAACCTCCTGGGTGAAAGCCAGACGTCCAAAAAACCTCGAGACCATACCGGATTACGAATGACATTTCATCTCACGAGTTTGACATTGTTCGAGAGGGATGTTGCATCTGGAACATTGTCAAACTGTGAGAGAAGAAGTCCCATCGTAATCCGGTATGGTCTAGTGGCTAGGATACCTGGCTCTCACCCAGGAGGCTCGGGTTCGATTCCCGGTACCGGAATTACTTTTTTTTTCTTTTTTTTTTTTTGTAAAAATTTATCATAATATTTAAATCAATTTTATACTCTTTCTCTTTTTTCTCGTGTTTTTTTAACGTTGACGAATTAGGTATTTTAAATATACATTATAAAATATTATTTTCTCTGCGCGCTCGTAAAACAGTAGAAATATTTAATAAATAACAAAAACTACTATACGAAGAAAATTAAAACATTTGTAATAAAATATTTGCTGCCTGATAATCACACACAAAAACATGTAATAATAAATTCTAAGAATATCATATCATAATTACGATATAATAAGAATAAAGATTGCTTTATCAATGAAAATTTTGAATTTGTATTGTTTTATATTAATAATTAATATCGTAATCTTTGTTAATCGCATAAGTTAAAACTTGTCTATATAATGAGTGTTATTCGATGCTTTGCAGGTTCTGAAATACGAAGAAATTTCCTGAACAACGACAGTCGTCTGCCCCACGTACGTGTCGTGAATACTAATGATACCGTTCCTCTCGTATAATAAGCACGAAAGCGTATATTTATAGACGATGCTGCGCAATGATTTCTTCTCTTTTACGCCCTAGACACGCAACTTCTTAATTTTTTTCACAAACATTCAGCAACGGTGATAACGGTACGTAATTTTTCTGAAAAAAACTGGAGGAAATAAACGGAGAGAAGGAATAACTCGTATCTACGAATAAACGACGAAAGAAAAAGAGACGCACGGAAGCTCACGCTTGATGACGTGAGGATGGAAACTGAAGGAAGAACGTCGTGAATTACGGCATAAAGTTTAAACGCGGTGCTATCGCGTGGTTATTTTCGTTGGCGTTTTGCGACACTGTTCGCGAGATGTCGAGGAGAGGGAACAGTCGGAGGCGCCGCGATGGCAATTCCCTCGTAAGAAAAACATGCAAATTAAACGACACTGCCGATCCAAGTCTGAAGATTTTGACGCGTAAGGCCGTTTGGCGGATGTCAGACGGTTGTAAAAGTACAGCACGTGTAATAAAAGGTTGGTGAATGAATTAAAAGACGAGGACTCTCTGGAGTTCTGGATCGACCGATTCCACCGAGAATGTTTACGCAACGATTTTTCGCACATCAAACGATTCTCTCGTCACGTTACGCAGTAAAATTTTTCTATATAAAAACTATAGGTATGCGTGTCTGTGTTTAATTTCGCCGAGAGAGGGATTTTTCAGCATATTATCACGTCGCGTCGCGTTTGCAACGTTTCGCGAGTGTGGCGCAATGAAACTTGTCGCCGCTGTAACAACCGCAGTCGACGCAAACAACAATACGTATGAACATTGCGGAAGAAGAAAGTTGGCAGAATCCGCCGCGGCGAAAGAAAGCCTTGGCCGATGTTGGTCACGACGACGGGGGGAAAAAAAACCGGACGTTCTTCATTCTCGCAGAAGTAATTCGGTTTTCGACCGTGCGGTTCGCGGTTTATGCGGCAGATGCAGATGCGAAATGATGAGGGAGAAAATGGCTTTATATGCAGAAACTGGACATTAATCTAAAGGCTTTATTGAACGGAAGATTCGTTGGATTACTATAATTTCGAATTAAGGATCATAGAATTTATACTTCTCTTTCGGCAACTGTTTAGAATCATTAAAGCATTGTGTAAGATAATTGTATACATAGAAAGAGATTTGCCTAATAAGATTTCAAATCCACGGCGCACGCAACAGAAATGTCGATTTATTTGCTGAAAACGTCACGCGCAGAAATACCTAACGTGTAACTTCGCTACTTTTCTTTTCGACGGAGCTTTTGCAGTTATACATTAGCACCGCGAATGAGTCCCGCACGTATATTTTTGTCGGTAAACGCCTACTAATTAATTATGAATCGCATTGTACTTCCCGACCGTGCGAAGTGAATTTAACGCGAGTTAGTTCCAGGTTTATCTGCACGGCTTTCCTGTAAAGCGGCGATTTTTATAGCTCCATATTTACGTATGTGCGAACATGACGAAGTAGCACGACGAGAAGATACACCTTACAGCGGAGAGAATGTCCATGACGCTAAACCATGATAATGATAATGGAGCAAGTGAATAATTTCAAAGAAACGTAAATGACCGCAAGACAATTTTATGACTTCATAACATGGCATGCAAGTTTATGTGAAAACAATAAGTTAAGAGGTAACAGCATGCGGCAGGAAAAATTATACTGGTGCGCTAATCGAAAGACAGCGGAATGATTTTCTTACAATCAAACAGAAGAACGGACGTACCCTGAAACGAGTACAAAGCACCATGTACGGAATGTAGGACGAGAGAAGCAAACGTAAAACAAAGAATCGTTTCAAGATTCTTTTTTCGTAAAAAAATTGCAATAAAAAATTCTTACAGAACACAGAAGTATTGTGTATATTAGAAAAATTGCTTGGAGTTTAGACAATGGAAGAAGCTGAGCGTTTTTATTATATTCGGAGATTGACGTGGTAATCATGGATTTCACCGGCCATTTTTCATCTCAAAAATCCGTGGATTTTCAGGCTCGATAACTGTATTATCGAAATTTTCCGTGCCAATAACACGCAGAGTGATCAATAAGCTGCAAACTATCTATCAAATCGTATATCAACACGTCTATCAAAACCTAAATTTAGAAGTTCAAATCGAAAGGAATTCTAAATCACTTTAAATAAAATTATTTAATTATCTAACTTATCTGTCTAAAAGACTTAATTTATACGGGATTACTGTCAAAATTTGCAAACATATATTATTAAAATTTCAGTATTCCACGGTTTTATATACGATATATTGATTTTTCTGCCCTATTAAACGATAACCTTCGAAGCCGGTTCAGTCATAGTATTATTAGTCTCTCACAAGCAAAAAGTCTTGAACCTTTCTCTCTTTCTCTCTTTCTCTTCATGCTTCTGAAAGATCCTAAGTTTAAAAGCGCCGATTACTGTAATTTACTGGGCAATCCACAGGTGCGCTTTTGTTGGTGCTTCTCCTTTTTTAGAAACTGCTTTAGCGTAATCTACAGCCGAATTTCTTGGAAGGCTACTTTTGTGCTCGATATGTGATTGCTGATCGTAACACGCGATCATCGTTAACACATTAAATCACACATGATCGCGTGACGCACATATGTTTGAAAATTGTCATAAATTCTACATTCTTATCAGATTATTCTCTCCTTTATTGCTTTGTGTTTTGATTCAAAAAGCAGAGCAGACACATATTCTATACATATTTTTATCAAAAAGGTAGTTATTAAATTATAAAGAGTAGTATGCCAAATTACATAGCTTTTATATTTTAAAGTTTTTTTTTCATAAAATATCGGAAAAATTAAAAATGCTAAAATACTGTGCTTACATAAACACATTAAAAGAATTCACTAAAAAAAATATTCAAAACTTAAAATAAAAACCTATTACGTCATATATGCACTTGGAGAAGCGTTTCGCTGTTTGTTCTAGAGAGTAAATTATTGAAATATATATACATTTTTTTTTTTCAAAGAGTTCAAAAGTTTATTTTTACATTTTATATGATACTATTAAAGCTCCAGGCATCAACCCGCACATTTTTTCAAAGGGACACCTGCATATAAAGTATCGAATGTTACCGAGCTTCAGGCATTGCGCTTGCGGTCATCGGGGAAAAACTTGTCTGACTGGTCATGCATAAAATACATCCAGTCTATTGACACGAGGACCAACAAGAGTGAAGCACTTGGAAGAGCACGAGATTGCGGTGAAACGTACAAACCTTTAATAAATTATCTTTTTCTGATATCATTGCAGCGCGGAATTTACATAACATGAACTACACGTCTCCTTACAGCTTCCTGTTCTAATAAAAAAAAAACAGGTTCAGGTTTTGTATATTTATAAGTAGTGCATGAAATATCTGCTAAACAAGGCTTATGTATTAGTTCGCGAGTTAATATTCATTCATAAGATCATATAATGCGCAACACGATGATTTAATTCGCGTGTTATGCGGTGCCGCAATAATATAGATATGGAAAGAATGCATAGTAGTATGCCACGACAAACTAATTACGACTAATTATATGATAAACACGGAAAGGGAACGCTGTCACGGCATAGTTGGCTCCGACTGATGGTTGGCCGCTCAACTTCGTGCGAAACAGGTCAAACAGGTGCGACAGAAGGCCTGGTGAGTGTATGCTACATTTAAATAAATATCTAACCAGTCCCAAGATAAACTTTCATGCGAGTTGACAGTTCGACGGCAGACTAACCCGACACGTATTTTTTCTATGCGTGTAGCGTGTACGCACTCACGATATAAAGTCTAAATTATTTCCTTACATATTCACATTGCAGTATGATTATTATATACGTATGTTATTACATATATGTATATCTTGATAAACTCAAATGAAATAAAGATAATTAAAAATATCCTTTTACATTCCACACAATATTTCTGATGTAAACTTATTAACTTAAAAATATAGAATAATTGCCAAGAAAAAAATATATATTTTAAACAAATAAGTTATAAGCAACGAGACGTGTTTTTTAATATTGTTTATGTAAGGTAGTTTATACATACAAATCGTATACATATATGTTATATATTAATATATATTAGATATATATTTTTTTAAACATTTAAAATTTCAGTAATAAAATAAATAGAATTACAATAAAAACAATCAAATAAAAGTAATCTAATATCTAATACATATTTGACTTGTGTCATTTGAGTTTTGAGGTGCCTGTCACATTAGAGTGTCGTGATACAATGTTTTTTATTAGACCACTCGTACACACTCGACTATACGGTGACTACTTTACACCTTCGAGGCCACCAATGGAATGTTGTTACTCAGCGATGATAATACGGCTTGCTGATTATCGTGGAGCTCGAAGCCTCCTCCCAGGGTCGCTTAAGATTACGTCGTAATGATGCCCAGGCGGCGAACCGGTTACGGCCGGCCCCCGGACCCTAAGGCCCTGCCACTGCACTTATTTGGCCCCGGGACCGCCCTCCATCACTAAACCGATCTCGGAGCAGACGAAAATAAAAAGAAAAGGGCGCGAAGGAACCCACAAAAATTAACCACGCGCTCGCTCGCACCTGGTCCGAAGATGAAAACACGTAGTCAAACTGGCTCAAAACCCTTCACCGCCAAGGAGAGACCTCGACAACTCTTATAGATGCTACTTCTACGGAATAATTTATCTACACGAAAGAAAGATCTATAAATAAAATAATCGTCATTGCAAAAATAGGCGAGCAAATATTGATGCGTTATAAATACAGCGTTATAAATATTCAACGTACTGCATGTAAATTTCGCTTAAAGAACTAATAACATCAATCACTGCTCAATACAACTGCCTTCACAGCACTCGGTGTTTAAATTAATGTTAACGTCGCGAATACAATGCGATAAATATTCGTGTCGATCCGCCCCCGCAATTTTTAATTCGTTCCATTACTCCGACGACAATGGACGACGGCTGCACGACGTATACGTTCCCAAAACTCCTTCCTCTCGATAACGCGTCGATTGTGAGCATCTCCGGCGCACAATACCGCCAGATAGTCGCGCGCTCCATTTTCAGGAAGATACAACACCCCCCCAGCTGCGCCAAAGGGGGCTGGACTTATAAATCCGACGATAAATCTATCACCGGCAAAAGCTGACCGATATCGTGCTTATGGCCGGTTGCCAGAGCCATCCCGCAAATCTTGTATTATACAGTCGCACGCAGGACATTCTCTTTCCTCCTCTATTTCGCATAGCTATACGTATACCCTGCCAACTGCCACGGTCCAGCTCGTCTCTCCTCTTTCGCGAATGAGCGAGTCGTAAGAAACGATTTATTTCAGCGACGTTATTTTTTCTATTTGCTACTTCGTTATTTGCGGCCAGAAAGCGAAGCCCTTCGAGCGAATCTTCAAGGACGGGCGCTTCCTACATAAAAAAGTCCATAAATTCTCCGCGAGATATTCGACGCGCGCTTTCATATTTACACTCATATCTCATTATGCAAATAGCTGAATTCTACAGCGATCCATTATTAACGCGGAAAAATTAAAAAATTATATATGCGTATTTGCGTGGAGCAAATTTCATTAATTGAGTAAATTTTAATAAATTCTATTTATATTACCAACGAAGTTTGATTTAATCTTAGTAACGCGTGAATTTTCATTAATTTTGTTGTTTTGAATAATTTTATCCCCAAAGTTATTAAATGATTGCATAAGCACCGTAAAAGTTTCAATGTCCAACTTGTACTTCGTTAAGGGGATCCACTCTGCTAAATGAAACATTTGCGTGTCGGCAAATTGTATAACATTGTTAGTTACTTGGCGATGTCCACCTATATGATATTACAGGGCGTCACGCTCCCATAAGGGAAGGTAAATAGGCGGTGCTCCTGCAAACTATCGTCCAGTCGCCGTCAGTAATATGCGTGTAGATCGTCGAAGCAACATGTGCCGCACCATAATTTGTCGTTAACTTCTTTCATGCCTCTTCCTGCGGTGTGAAGCGTAGTCCGATCGAGGCGACGAACGGTTGTTATGACACAAACACCGAGATTCAAGGAAAGTGTGGAAGCAGGAATTCCGTACGTAAAAATTTTTCGACGTGTTAATAAGAGACTTGGATAAACAGATTACAGCAAATCGCTAACCGATAAATCTTCTGCACAAACGTCGCACGATGTTCAACGAACACGATATAAGAGCATCGTACATAGAGAATCCATTCCCAGTTCAAACTACAATGCCTATCGTAACAACTAATCCTACCAAAATGAACATCATTATACCAGTCATCCCCGAATCCATGCGCAATATCATGGACCTCGTGCTGCTAGTGACAGGCGTTAGCCTAAATGCCTTCCTCGGTCTCTTCATCGCGTTAAATTCCACCATGTACAGTTCCACTAACTGCTACGTAGTGGGCCTGGTGTTTTCGAACGTCGTAATCCTGCTCGAACCACTTCAGCGAATAATTGAATGGATCTTCGATATACGCTTAGAGATGGACCTCGACTACGTATTTCTGATCAGCTTCGCCACGTCCATTCTGACGATAATTCTGCTGAATATCGAGGCGTACATTGTCATTTGCAAGAAAAATTCGCCCCTTCGCAAGTCGTTCTTAAAAATTTCGACAGCTATGAAAGGACTCTTATTCATATGGACAACGTGTATTATGGTGATAGCCATGGAATTACATTTGTATGACCATTTCGAGAGAGACGTCATGCACGACATCTACGTTTCATCCACCATTATGTTTCTCGTGTTCCCGTGTTTCATTTTTATTATGCTCGATTACTTTATCTTGTATGACCTGATAATATCGAAATCAATAAATGGAATGTGGCCAAGCAAAGATATCGAGCATTTTATTTTTCTGGGTAAGTGAAAATTTCACTTTAATATTAATGCAAAGGTGACAATTATGTCAACGTTAATCTACAGATTTCTTATACTTTTTTCTTTATACTAAATCAACTTCTATGTTACGCAGTTGGTGTTAGTATGGGATTTTTTCTAACTATGATACCATATCGGATTACGAGATCCATGAGGTTCCTATCGAAATCTTACCATAACGACACAGTGATAGAGATAACTTATACGATGGTTAAAGTATACCCGATAATTCTACCAATAATATGTTTCGCAACATCAAAAGAGTTCCATCAAACACTTAAGGTTTGTAATATATCTACAAATATATTGATTCACAAAAATTAATAAAATTAAGAAAAATTAAGAAAATTAATTAATATAAAATGAATAATTCTGGTATTTCAGATAATGCTACACTGTCAACAGCATGAAACTTCCGCCATAACATAAAAGCTATTGGGACAAAACAAGATATCAAAGTTATATGCAATTCCAAGTAATCTATCTAATCTTTTGATAATCTAATCTATCTTGTTGCGAATAAGAAATATTTACTTCGTCAGAAAATGATAAACAATTAAGAATTTTAATCGACTCGACTGGCTATCATCGTGTCATGATGATAGTAAGTAGATTAGAATTCTTAATTGTCTATCTCATTACATTTACTCATACACGTCACGTTTTTAGATACTTTATTATCTCTGAGAAGAACTTAAAATTCGCGCATGCGATAACCAAGCACATCCGCTCTCATGAGAGAGGAAAAAACGCGATGTGCAATCTGCACACAAATTTTCGAATTCACTGAGCTCTCTGTATGCAAATTAGTTTCCATTAAAATAAGCTTCTTCTTAAAAAATCAAGTATAGCGCGTACTTATAAACTGTGTACTTAATTATGAGATAAGAAAATATCGTATTTTGTTTTGCACGAATCATAACAGACATTATTTAAGTACGTATTAAGATACATAAGTAAAGCCTTATATGGTCAGACTGGATCTTTGTGCCTAATAATATTATTGCTTGAAATTTATATACATTTTTCAACTCAGCAGATTACGCGCCGATTACTGTCGTTCGTAAAACGCAATCTCAAACTGTAGCTGGAATAATATAATCACATAATTAAATTGATAATCAATTTAATAAAACCGAAAATAAGCATCTTTAAAATCATTACAAAGGATTGTTAATATTATTTAAATGAAAAGTTTTTGCCATCTAATTATGTATGCAATACTACCACATTTTCATGTAACATTTAAATTTTTAAGTATTATATAAAATTATAAATATATGTTTCATTTAAAACAATGATAATAAGTTAATTTTTAGAAACTTTTGTTAAAAAGTTAAAACAAAACTTATACGGTTTATACATATATCAACGAGCAGCTCGTTGAATTAAGATTACATTCGGGTAAAAGGTATTTCCTCCACAAGCCATTCAGCTGTAACGCGCCACTTCCTTTCTAACGAGAAGTCGGTGTTTATCAAATCGAGGATAAAACTGAGTTTACAACCACCAAGCAGCCTGCCTGTCCCTTCGCGATTAGGAATTCCTCTCGCGACTCGTATTCCTTCCCTCGCAATTTCACGACAAGATCTAAACAAGAAGGTATGCCAACGACGCGACGGTTATAAAGATTGAGCACGTGTATATTAAAACAGATAATGCAAGATTGCTGATAAAGATCCGTTCACACTTAAGTATTTATAGTATTTTGAATTTTAATCATCCTTTATAATTAACGTCTTAAAAAAAAAGCGTCTAGATCTAACTGTATCTTGTAATCTCACGGAATTATCCTGAGAAACTGTAAAAACTCGCGAATTGGTAAAACTTTTAATTACTCTTTCTTACTTTTAGCTATTCTACTTTCTATAATAGAAAACGCCAAACTAAAAAGCAGAATAATTTTGTATAAACAAGTTTCTCACGAAAAGTTGCAAGAAAAATATTTGAAACAATGTAGTTTTCTCTCCCTACATAAATAATCTCTGTAAAATACGTTTCCAATATGCGAGATATATCCTATGTGTTGTCGGTGCGGAGAAAAGGAAAATCACGAAGAACCAGGAAATCGGTGAAGCAGAACGCTCAGACACAAACTTCCGGTTCGAAGAACGAACTAAGTTTACCTTTCCAAATACGTATATTTCTCAATTGAGTTTCATAAGGTTTAAGTTAAGTTCACTAAAAAAGAAAAATTTGTATCTCATTAGCACTTAAAAAAAATTGCTTAAAAAATATAATCAAACAAAAAATATTCGATAATGTTACGATAAATTATTACGCTGTACAACAAACTTCTTACAGAAGTTATTGTCATAACTTCTAGAAAACAAGAAGAATCTGTTATATTTTCATATTTATATATTCATATTTTAAATACGACTTAAAACTGCCAATCACGTATCTATATTTATTTTTTTTCAACTTTAGGATATTAAAAAATGATTTTGCTTCTTATTTTCAGCAATTTTTCATTTTGTAACATTAATGTATCTTGATGCATATGTAGATACTGTAAAGAGGGTATATTCATTTTGTGTATACCTATATAACTTTTATGTAATATGTTTATAAGTAAAATATTGATAAAAATTCTAATGTCATCCGTTATTATTTAAAATACTGTTATTTAAAAACCAAATTGCAGCAAAAAAACTAGAATAATACAGAGCCTTGCACAAGCTTAAAATCATTCGTCGTTGTTATTTTTGTAATAGAATTGAATACTACCTATTTATAGATAGTATATACAGACCAGCCTCTAACTTTCTTCATCGGTTTGCACCACGCTAGAATTTGATTTACATTAATCTTTTCTTGTAGGCCTCGCGTCTAATTTACTCCTAAAAACATACGGTATCGAAAACATCGTTTTGTGCGATATTAAAAATGTTAGTGTAGAGAGTTTAAATTATAAGCACGTGCTCGCGTCCTTGCGGTCCAAATTTCGCAACACTGTTACGAGCGGTTTGCTCACGACGATGCATCAGCTTACATGGCTCTGCGTGGTTGGCGTTCTATAAATACATACCACGGGCGATTTAAAAATGCAGTGACAGTAACACAGCCAGGGCCGTCTTGCAGCCGCATTAAAATATTTTTAGCCATCTCGTTGTCTTAAAAGCTCGGAAATATGTAAAGGATTGTAAAGTAAACGGGCGAATGGCAAAGCGTGTTCTAGCTCGCAGCAAAAGTCGAACTAGGATCACCGGAGACCGGTGTTACAGGTGTATGCATATGCATAAACGCATCGCTGCACCGTGCAGGGGGGACATGGGAAAGGCGATAGACGCCACGCTGTTTGCGGTAGCCATCAGCGGAACGGATGAATGCGAATCGAACGTAACATTCACCCGACGCGACGTGTGAATGAAGCGACCGAGTACCTAACGCGGATAGAAACTCCATTCAGGCTCGCTACTGGAAAAAGCAGCGCGACTGTATCGATTGCGATCAAAGCCGAGTTTGACGTAGGGGACCGACGAACACCCAAAGCTTTGTTCGACCGCTCGCTTGCACCCTTGTGTACCCGAAATATACGCTCGCGGTCTTAATTATTAACTTTCCAGCGCGAGACGACCGTGTGCTCCTTTATTGCAGATACGCGCGACGATAATAGTGCGATAAAAAAGTCGTCAAAGATAATTTTGGCAGCAGGCATACAGTATAACATAAATCTTCTTAAAAACAGCCTTTTTCTTCGAGGCAAATGACAACAATTATATCAGCATTTTGCACTATCACTGTGATCAACGTGTGAAATAAAAAGAATCCAGTACCGGATGCTTCACCAAACGTATCGTGCGGAATTTATATGAAACATCCTCCCTCTCTCGACATAAATTAACGCGACCTTTATTTTCACGCTAGCTTATCCAAACACCGATAGACTCCGCGCTCCTGCATCCATCGTGGGGCAATGTTTTATCAAGTGCGGGTGCCTGAAAAGCCTCGAGAAATTTCTAGCGGGCGCAGCTGCCCCGAATAATGAGTTTGGAAATACGGTGTGCAAGCCTCGCGCGAAACTCTCGTCTTGACCCGCATGATAACAGATTGCAGTCCGCGTTGTATATTTTACCTCAAGAAAGTTAAATAGCTTTAGCTGTCGCTAAAAATAATTAACGCAGAGCTTTATATTATAAAAGTTAATTATAGTACATATATGTACATTTATGATGTACATGTTTTATAAATAAAATAATACATATTCACGAGTATTTGGTGGAATAAATAGATAACAAGTGAAATGAATTCAGAAAACGATAAACATAAGTTTTCAGGATTGAAAAACATTTTAAAGTAATATTCAGGTGCAAACATAAAAGAAGAGAGAGAAAGAATTGTACATTATCATATTCAGGCTTTATAGCCTTCGTCCAAGTTAAGTTTAGTAACCGTTATAGGTTCCGGAATCGTTTCTGTTGAGTAAAGTCTCACGAAGTTTTAATGAAATCATAACTGGGAGATCCCGCGCGAAGTTATGCTCTCTTCGACATATTGCTCCTTTTGGTGCTTACGCGCAGCCACAGACAAAATCAGAACTTTATACAAAATCCGTCAATATTCTTTATGAAAATAATTATATTGAAGCTTTCATGAAAAGATGGCAAGAGTACAATGTTGATTATATTAATTTTACCATAATAAAGATATACAATATCAATACGAAATTAAAGTGTAGAGAAGTCTTTCCGATTCCTAAGATTATTTCACGAGAAATCAGTAAAAATAACACGTGAATTAAAAATTATCGATCACACGATCATCGCGATAACAATTAAATTATTATGATCATCAAAACATAGCTTGAAATGTGTTAACAGCTAATTCGATGAAACTGGCTGACTCTGTCTTTATACCGTTGTTAATTTCGTCACACGTGTTCTCGCATAATTGTATTCATGTTACGTATGTGTGTATGTGTGTATGTTCGCTCGGTTTTCTGCCGTTCATATCGATCGAGCAATCGCAAATAAATTATTTATGAATTCCCGTCCGAACGAATACACCATCGATTTTCATCGTTGACATTTCGCATGCCCATCACGCAGCGAAGATGATTAAAAGTCGGTTCCTCCGGGCATGATTATTTTTTTCCATTCCCCCGTACGATTTCGCGGTACAGCGATAAAGGTTAAAGCGTGATTGAATGTCATATAAAATAGCTTTACATTATGTATGTTATTATTTATTCAGCCACGATAACATAATTTGAAAGACGGTATGACTTATGGAATTAGAGGAAATTTATATTCGCTATACAAATTATTTTGTCATTTTCTTTAAAAAATCATTATATATATTATATATATTTCAGTTTATGTTTTTATTTTATTATTACCATTAATATTTTAATTATTTCTTACTATTTCTTTTATTTTGGTTAAAATTTAAATCTCTACCATGCATAACGCACCATTAATTTAAATCGCAGAATATCTATATTATATTTATATATTAAATGCAGTGTGCGCAGTACAGGCGCGCTTCCCGACGAAACAACAGAATCAAGAAGCGCTTGAGTGTGCATTCAGTGGGAACTTACACGAAGAAATGAATGGATTTCTCTCACTCTC